CAATTCAACTTGAATTAAGGGCTTTGGTTTATTGAAATATGTATGTATATGGATGCCAGATAACAGAGGCCTAAGGGGGTTAGACAAAAAGAAAAATGTGAAAATCTCTGTTTAGCTATTGAGTTTTATTGAATTAAACCCGTAGAGTCTTCATATATACACTCAACCAGGCGGGTGAAAATAACCTAGTATATTTAAAAATATTGATAAGAAGTTTACTCTTGCAGAACGAAAAGTATGTCATAAAAATTTACCCAAGGATTTGAGTTTACGTACAACAATAGGTCCATTCAATAACTTTTCCAGTAAGTACTTGCAGCGAGAGCGTAAAAGAAAAATTGAGAGCAAGAGAAAATTTTCAGAAAAAGTTATTGAACGCAAAACCAGTAAAAACTTGCAACTCAAGCCATTTTGACACTTTCTGGCGGTTAAGTTTTAGCGCGCAATTTTCTTTTTAATTGGGAATAGTTTTCATCGTAATAAAAGTAAAAAAAGATACAATAGATCTAAATTTTTCAACCATATTTTCATTTCACTAATTATGTTTCATCAAATCATCCTCTTAAACAGTTTGTTTACATGTGAATTTGAAACATAACCTTACTTTTTGACTCCTGCAAATTCCTGCTAGTAAAATCTTTACTTGCAAGGATTTGCAGCTCCCTCGGGTTGTTACGCTCTCAAATTCGCTCTCTCTTGTAAATATTTTGGGTTATTGAATGCATTTCCAGTAAAAACTTGCAAGTACTAGTAACAATTCGTTAAAATTTTTTGATACTGAATGGGACTATTATAATATACATATGTTTGTGGTCATAAATAAGCAATAACCGCCTAGGCCGACTTAAGAAAGAGAAAGGAAAGGTAAACATTACAATCGAAATGTTTAAAGCGTTTTTTCTCGAATTTAGGTGTTTCGACTTAGCCGGTTATTGCTTATGACCACAGATGTACGTACATACGTACATACGTAGAAATATTTTTTTGGCATTCGATTTATTTAATTTTTCGTACACACTTGCTTCCACTTTGGTTTGTATTCTACACTAAAATGCATTCACAACAAACCACATTTTAGTTTTGTTCTTTATTTTTCATTGTTGTTGTTGTTGTCTTATTTTAAATATTTTTTCCGATGCATTTAAATGCGTTTAAAAGGTGGAAACAGCTGTCAGTTCTTATTCATATCACAAATACGCTGCAGACAGCCCGGCAGGAGGCAAACAGGCTGCTGCAGACGACGAGTGGACACAAATAATCAGGTAAGTAAGCAGACAGACATTGGAGGGAAGATGCGCAGCAAAAGCTACAAACTGCATATACATATATACATATGAATATGGATGCACGTACTACTTATTTAAATATACAGTACAGTATATAAGTACAGAAGTACATACATATGTATGTAGGTATGTATGTAAGTATGAATAAATATATGTTTTGGCATGCGAAGGATAGACCTGCTGCTTATGCCTTTGTTGAGAGGCGTCTGACATGTATGACGCTTTATTTAAATATACCACGTACACACATTTAAATATAGATATAATAAGACGAAATTGCAGTGTAAGGCAAAATAAAAACAAAAATTTTTCAGTGCAGTCTTTTGCGAAAAATCACGTATTAACTAAAACCAAAAATGCAAAAAAAAAACAAAGTATGGCGCAAAATATGACAGTTCCCCCTATTT